CTTGGCTCCCCTGCCTTCTCCAACTACACTGCAATCCCAGATGTTTGGGGGCCTAGGACAGGACGTTTTGTTAAATAATTCACTCACTCCGAAATACCTTGGCTATAAGCAGGACAACAGCCCTTCCCCTAAGCCCAGCTCTGTGTTCAGAAATGGATTCTCTGGCGTTAAGAAGCCTTGGCACAGATGTCATGTCTGTAACCACCACTTCCAGTTCAAACAGCACCTTCGAGACCACATGAATACACACACCAACAGACGGCCTTACAGCTGTCGGATTTGTCGCAAGTCCTACGTCCATCCTGGCAGCCTGAGCACACACATGAAACTTCATCATGGTGAGAACCGTCTGAAGAAACTCATGTGTTGTGAGTTTTGTGCAAAAGTGTTTGGTCACATCCGAGTCTATTTTGGCCATCTGAAAGAAGTGCATAGAGTTGTGATCAGCACTGAGCCCGCAACCAGTGAACTGCAGCCGGGAGACGTACCAAAGAACAGAGACCTGAGTGTGCGAGGCGCAGAGGGATCGCTGGAGAGGTGAGTGCTGACGGATGGAAGCCCAGCAAGACGGTCTGGATTTGGGGAAGAGGGGAAGATTTCATATTCAGAAAGGAGAGTTTACAAAACATCTCTTGGATTAAGATTTCATATAGTAGCTATCTATACCTCCTAGTTCTGTGAAGAAGAATCTCGTTTCTCTCTGGTTTCTGATCATCCATGATTGTCATTACCCTAATCTATCTTGTAAATTATTGTATATAGTTCCAGAGGTCTTTACAAGTAATTTCTCCCAAAATTACATTCACAGAATCTGCAACATTTTAAACAACATCATTTGCCCCAAAATGCGGCATGACCCATGGTGGGACTCAGAGTGGGTGGGTCTGTCATGTTGGCTCTACCTCAAGGTGGCTACACCCCACCGCCTTCATTTGCCCTATTTTTCTTATCAGGTCGGGTTAGTTCTTTCTGGTGTCATTCCTTTTTGCAGGCACTGATTCCTAGTGTTTTTGTTACGGGATCCTTGTGGTGGCTCTTCACCAGCTGGAAACCTCTGTGGCCAGTGGCGCAGTGGCCTGAGTTTTGCTCTGGCCCACTAGGCTCTTTCCACCCACTCCGCCTGGCTGACTGCACTCGGCTCACGCTGTCAGCCTAGATCACATGCCTGCCAAGGGCGAGCCAGGCACAGAATGGCAAGGGGTGTGTGAGCGAACATGGGCAGGCACTGCACATAGGCAGGCACACCAGCTGCTGCAGGGCAGGGAGCTCTAGGTGCCAGCTCCCTGCAAGCCCACGGCTGGACCAGGCATATTGCACGCAGCTTCCATGGCTGGCACCGGGAACACAGTGTTGCCCAGAAGCTTGGATACCCCAGTAACCTCAGGGCCTAAGGAGAGAGTCACAGCCCTGGCTCAGGGAGCTCCCAGGTCTGAGCTTTCCAAAAGGATGCGGCTTTTCTTTCCTCTTCACCTACAATGTGACAAGCAAGGGGTGTGTTTCAGGCTGTTTGTGTTACAGCTCTCTTAGCCCCACCATTTGGCAGGTCCCAAGTTCTTGTCCTGCGTTCAGCAAGAATGAGGTACACAGACATGTGGAGGGTGAGCAAGATGAGGAGCTTTATTGAGCAATAGAACAGCTAAAGAGTTGAACTGCAGGGGGCAGTTCCTTTCTATACTCAGGTTGTCCTGATGAGCGTTCAGCTCTTAGCAGAGAGCGTAGCTCTCTGCCACTGGTCGTCCCATTGTCTTTTCAAGTCTCGCTAAGTCCAGGGCTTTTATGGGCCTCAGAGGGGAGGAAGTGCACGCCAGTTGGTCCATGGGTGGTCATGGACAGGCCCAGAAAAGTACCACAAGTTCCCACTCCAGTCCACATGACTGGCAGCCTGGCCCCCAAACTTCAGGGCTTCCCTGGCTTGAAGGTGGGACTTCACCAGGGACCTGCCCCTTTCCACTCAGGAACTTTTCTGCCTCCTGCTTCTGTTTATGGCACCCAGGCTGTTCGTGCTGAGGGGCACCTGCAGGCCAGCACCAAGCTATCCTCCAGAAGCTTGGATACCCTGGGAAGCTTGGAGTGCCCTCTTGTTAACCTCCCTCCCATGCTCATTGGCACCCAAAGTCCGGAGTGGACTGAAGTGGTAGGGGGCTGGCATGTCAGCGCTGCCTCAGGCGTGTGCACACCCAGCCAGGTTGCAGCAGTGTCCAGACTCAGCTGCAACCTTACTTTTAAGATTGGAGCAGGTGCTGACAGCAGAGAGAAGCCAGGCAGCAGGAGCAGGCACTGCTGAGCCTGTGTGGGAAAAGGGGCCTTCCCAGACCCCTGAGAGTACAGAGATGCCTGGATCTGCAGCCACAGGAGGGTGGCTACAGTGATGCTTGGGAGGGCAGGAGGGCTCTCACCTGCTCCCAGCTTCCAAGAGCACAGGGGTGCCGGGTCACAGCTGCGGCTTGGGCAGCTGCGGTTGCACCTGGGAAGCTCCCACCCCGCCAGCTTGGAAGGGGCAGGGCTGCTGCTCCACCCCAGCTCCCACTCGGCTCCACGGAGCTTGACACTGCCTCTGGCCCAGCTCCACCTCAGGGCCCCTCTCTCCCCACTCCTTCCTGCCCCACTGTGCTGTTTCCCCTGCTGGCAGGTGACTCACCCTGGCCCCGTTGCTACAGCTCCCAGGACAGTGGGCTTCAGGGACTGCCCACCTCCTGTCCACATTTTCCCCACAGCAACAGCAGGCGAGGTGCAGGCGGCATGGTGGCCCTAGCCAGCCCCACACAGATGAACCCCATGCTCTCAGGGCCAACCCCCCAAGTCCCAGCTGCACCTTCAGACGGGTGCTTGCTGGCTCCTGAGACATGGCAGGGAACAGGGTTGAGGCCAGAGCAGAGGCTCCCAGGCTTGGGAGCAAGTCCTGTCCAGCCATGTGAGGATGGGGATAGCACAGTCATGCCTTGGGGATGTAGGGCACAGGGGTCCTACCGCCACACTGCTGCCCCTCCTGCCACCGCCTCGCACCTCCTTGTGGCAGCCTGTGTGATGGCAGTGGCCACTCCAGATGGCCTGCCCCTGCCATCATTATAAACAAATAAGCTAAGTAATTTGGAAGCCTGGCAGGCAGGAGTGAGAACAGTCGTGAAGCTGGAAAACGGCTTCCGTTTGAGTTGTGTGTATCTGTTTCCACTGAGGTGACTGAGAGCGTTTCATGGCATTCCCTCTCTTCAGCATCATGAGAAGTAAACCTTCTCCAGGCTCGACAATCCCTGCCCCTTCTTTTCCTCAGTTGTCCCAGTTGCTCTCAGTACCTTCTATTCAACTGCGGCTCATTCTATCATGTTCAGTAGAAGTAAGGGCCCCCATCCTCTTTCTTCCTTGCTTTTCTATAGTTTCTCCTTTTTCTTAGACATTTCTGTCCCCTTTAAGACCTCTGTGCCTTTCACTAATGAACCATGAAACCTCACTTCCTTGTTTTCCTGTAGTTAGATTTTGATTTTTAGGTACAATATCCAAACTACATTTGGTGCTCAAGGTTAGGGAGAGCCACAGCGGGTAGGGTGGGACTGTTACCTTCAACAGAGCCGAAGGTGCTCGCATAACCTTCACCTGCTATTACGCGACTCTTCCATGTGATTGCTCCTGTCCCTGTGGTAACCAAGGACAAGTTAGCTCTCCTGGGACAGATGCATGAAGAGAAGGACTCTTACTAAATGAACCTGGTAGCTGGAGAAATGCGTGGCCACAAGCAGGAGTGACAGTTGGTGTTTACTGCGGTCCTTTGTCTTTCCAGGCGCTCTCTGTTTACCCCAGCCCTTGTCTTTCTCGTCAGTGTGTATTTTAGATCCCTGAAGGCTGTGAACTGAGAGGGAAGGTTCCAATTGTGTTTTTCCATGAAATCTTATGTACACTATTTTTGCCCTTTTCAGGGAAAATAAGTCCAACCTGGAAGAAGACTTCCTTCTCAACCAGGCAGATGAGGTCAAATTGCAAATCAAATGTGGCCGTTGTCAAATCACTGCTCAGTCTTTTGCAGAAATAAAGTTTCATTTGCTCTATGTTCACGGAGAGGAAATTCAGGGCAGGCTGCAAGAGGGGACCTTACCAGGAAGCAATGGGACTCAGGAAGAGCTGCTGCAGCACGCTAGCCCCAGCTGGAAACGGCATCCTGAGAGAGGGAAGCCGGAGAAGCCTCATTCCTCCCAAGAGGAGTCACACGCATGCCCGAGACTGAAAAGGCAGCTCCACCTTCATCATCAGAATGGCATGGAAATGCTTATGGAAAAGGAAGGGTCCCAGTCAGGAACCAACAAGCCGAGGGAAACCCGCCAGGGCCCTGAGTGTCCTGGCCTCCACAGGGTCCTCTTGTGGTCCCATTCAGGCTTTAACTGCCTCCTTTGTGCAGAGGTCCTGGGGCAGAAGGAGGACCTCCTCCTCCACTGGGAGCACCAGCATAACTGTGAGGACCCTTCCAAACTGTGGGCTATTTTCAATACAGTCTCCAACCAGGGAGTGATTGAACTTTCCAGTGAAGCTGAGAAATGAAACCCCAAGGCAGGCCGGGGTTAAGGAGAGAGCTCTGCCACCACCTTTCCTCAGAGCTTCATGCTTTATGGTGGTGCTTCATCACAAAGATCAGACAACACAGGATCAGCGTGAGTGAACAGAAGTGATTTTTGTACATGGTTTTATTGTCTTAGGAAATAAAATACATGTTCTCAAAGCATTTTTTCTAACCATATGCAGTCTTAATTTAAAATCATATGTACTGATTCTTAATATCTTAGACTTTCAGAATAAATAAAAATATCAAAATTTGGAGATTGAAATCTAGAGGAGTATAGGCTGTTCTTCAAATACAGCTCTCAGTGAAAACGTGTGTATGTGTCTTTACTTCCGTTCAGATGTTTTCTGCTTATGTAGATTGATGAATGTCAAAAATTTCCAGGCAGCAAAACCCTTTTAGTCTCAACCACAGCATCACGTTAGATGGTAAATGCTGATGTTTATTAAATTCTCTGGTTTATTTGAATATGATATAGAGCAGAATTTGAATAAGATTGTCATTTGCAATAATTTGAAATCCATGTTTTCAGGATTCAGATTTTTGTTTCTTGTGATTTTGCTATGTTCTGAAATGCACATTTCCTTGAAGATTCGTTGTTGGCAAGTCTTACAGCTGTAGTGTTCCATATCAAAATAATTTTTTTTTAATTTAGTACTTCAGCTAATAAAAAATCCATTTGCTTGGTAAAAAGTTATTTTCAAGTAGTCTTTGGGACAGAAAATTTACAACCTGGAAAGTGAACTAGATAGTTCAGTCCAGATGTGTAGAGGTCTCAACTGCTTTCCCTCACTCCCAAGTAACTTCAGAGGGTTGTCGCTAGCTGATCAATTTTAGATGAAACTGTGCCTTTCAAGCCCAGGTTCTCTTTGAAAGTCAAGAGTAAATGATTGCCTCTTAAATTCCTGGGAAATTACCTCGAATCAGTAAAGTTGTCATTTGAAGTTTCTGGCCGTTCTGGCTGCAAAATCATTTTCTCAGAAAGTGGACTTTCAGCACTCATCCTACTGATAATCGCAGCCTTGGATGAAAGCACCGTACGTGTGGCCAGCCCTGTTTGCTGAAGCTCAGCCCAGGCATGTTCATAATATTTTGTGCTCAAGGAAGTAAACAGAGAACTAAATTCTAATTGACAAGCTAGTGGATCTTAAATCTTTTTTTAATGTCCAGTTTTAAAAGCCAGTGTTCATAGACATGATTTGCCTCAAATAGTACAAAAAGAGAAAGCTTTGTCTTTTTGCAAATGGTTTTGTAAATTTGAGAAGAGAGTAGGGATAGACTGTGTTGTGGTTTGTCTATCTATCATGCTTTACCCAGTTTCGAATAGGGAATATCAGACCTCCACTGTTTGATAGTTTTAAAACTCTGGGTTAATAATGAAATCTCTTTACCATTCAAACCAGTTCCCAGTTTTTTTTGAAAGACTTATCTTGAAGACATCACCAAATGGCTTCTACAAAGAATACTACTTGAATTCAAACCGTGGAACTTGAATTCAGACTATGGAATAATTTATAGACTGCTCAATCCTCAGATGCGAAGTCATATTTTAAAAATGCTGGCCCGTTGGCCAAGGCAGAGTAGTGAGTGTGGAGTGCGTATGGAGACAGAGGTGTGGGGACAGAGTGTATCCACCCAGCACTCGTGGAAAGTCTGAAGTCCCCTAGGTTGTGGAGGGACCCAACTGTGGCTCGTATCTCTCCACATATTCTTACAGCAAAGTCATAGGCAGTCTCTGGAAAGAAGCACAGTGAGGAATGGGGAAAAGAGCAAAGGTTTGGAGAAGATATGACGGGCTCATGATTCAGCACTCTGGCTGTATCCACATTTCAGAGCATCTCAGAGCAGCGGCCCCAATATGCTAACTAAATTTAGGCAACTCAACGAGACTGATCCATGCAGAGAGCAAGGGCGCAGGTGGGGACCCATGGAAAAGTGACACTCATCTTTAAGAAAATTCTTTTTTTAAGAGAAGGAAGCTTGTGGGGCATAGGACCCTCTCTGGAAGTCAGTGTGTATGGGTTCATTTGTGGTACAGTGTTAGGTTCTCAGCTTTTCAAAACTCCCCTGCCTTACAACACAGACAGCCCCAAAATAAGGAGTGTCTGGCCCTTATTAGTAGTGCTTCACTGAGAATGGTGGGAAGAGGGCTTCCTCTCAGGGAGGCAGGAAGGTGAGAGAGTACTTAGCTAAAGTTACTTTGGGAACAGCTCAGAACCTTTCTTGGGGTAGAAATGTTACCGGAACAGTCCCAACCTGTCTACTTAGGCCAGAGGTGGTGTGGTGAACAAAGTGCTCTCATACTTACTGTGTGTGGCCTTGAGAGAGTTCCCTCTCCTAGGCTCCATTCCCTCCTCTGTGAAATGCGAGTGACGGTCCTACCTCAAGGCACTGTTGTGAAGAGTCAAAGAGACACACATGAAATGCCTGGCACCCGTGGGCCATGTGGTAACTGGTGGCTGAGATTTATTAGGCTTTTGGCCAGACTTGGGAGAAGAGGTATTTTGTACCATATAAAAGATAATTGTAGAAAGCTTGAGTGACAGATCTTAAGTACAGAATTCAGGAATGGAAACTACTAGGAACCACAGAAGTTTGCATTTTTGCATGAAATGCACTTTAATTTTTAAATAAAAACTAGGATTTGGATTACATGCAGGTTTGGTAACTGTCTATTCAATCAGAATAAAAAAGCAAAATTCACTCAATTATTTCCATTCCAGCCTTCACTTTGGGGCTTGTATTCCTCAGGTCTCAGCCCAGATTGTACCTCCTTCCTGCAGCTGCCCCTCGGCCCTGCCCTTGCCCCTGTTCTAGCTGTGATCATAGCACCCACCTTGCTGTCCAGAAGCTGAGGGTGGACTTGTCCACCTCTCGCACTGGATAATAAGCCTCATGAGGGCAGGAACTCTACCTGTGAACAGAGGTTCAGCACAGAGCCCTACAGTGTCCAGTGCCTGACATGGAATGGCACACAGCAGATGTTTGTTGAAAAAAAAAAAAAGGATATATCAGTTAAATAACAAAATTACCACTTTCCTTTTTATGTATAAAGCAGCCTTAGAAGCAACCAAACTTGTAGCTAGAAAGGCATGGAGACAAACTTGATCTTAAATTCAGCACATTCATTTTGCTTCACGTCTTTTGCTTCTTGGAAAATTGTCCCAGTGCCAGCAAAACTAGATTTTTTCCCCCTCCTCTTTTGGCCCTAAATTATTTCTGAAAGTTACAGCATTTTCGATTTGTATTGTTTTATTACCTGTCATTTTTATTCACGTCCGCTTCTGTTGCTCTCTCGCTCTCTCTCTCTCACTGGACCACTTCCTAGTTTAGCTTGACTGTTCCCCTGTTAAGCTGTTCCTCATATGGAAAGTTGCAGCTTCATCAGCACACCATAAATAATCCGACCTGGGTGCGTTCCACTGCCTTCTCTGGCTACAGACTCCTCCCCTCCCCAGCTGCATGGCTCCAGTTGTCTGTGGCCCCTGTGACAGGGTTGTTGGCAGTAAATGTTCAACTTCATTTATTTCCTAGGATTCTCAGATCTGGACTGGTTTGCTCTATTCAAGCCGCTGACAAGCTTTGTTAGGTACATATTTTATAGCGTCTCCCCTTTGCACTGGGCTCCTGAGAAAAAGCGTCCTGGTGAATATGACCTGGAATTAGCAGAATAGGTTTTTAGCTTCGACTTTGTTCTGACTTCGCTGACACTGGACAATCAGCAGCTTATCTAGACTTGTGGTTTAACCCACCGTATATTTTAACAGTACCCACCTCTTTAGGAAGATTACTTCTAGAGGTGAAATATTTATTGTGTCTTATATTTGGTCACGGTCACGGTTATTCTTATAATAAAATTATAACCACAATTTTGGGGGCACGTTTTAAATTTGTGTTTAGTATGCAGACGTTGGCTTAGGAGTACATCACATTTTCCATGCTCTGGAGTGTGAAAATATTTCAATGCATTGCTTAACTGTAGGAAAAATGCTCCCCATTGAAGGAAACCAAATGTGACAAGTAAAAGATATACTGATTATTCCTTCTAATTTTAATGTGAAGCTAAATTTTCTTTTTCAGTTAAATTTGCTCCTATCCTCAGAATTGCTCCACCCCCTTAGCTTAACAGTGAAGAAACAATAGGATGGCAATTCTTGCCGTTTTTAGTATGTTCTAAAAACAAAACCTCAAGTTATTAGACTTATAATAGATCATATTTTTAATAGTCACTGAGCACTCCTCAATAAAAAGATTGTGCCTTCTTTCATTAAATATCAATTTAATCTCCACCTAGGAGTTGCAAAGAGACCACCATGCCTTTGCAGAGACAAAGCACTGAATTTGGTCTGATTGCTGCCTGAATTGTAATGCATATCTTACTTACTACAAAAATTCACCCATGGAGGAGATCCAAGTAGCTCAAACACATGCACCCCACATAACCACCCCTAGAGCTCTGGCTGTCTCTGAAAGATATTTAAGGTTTTGTGCTTAGGAAACTAACGTGCTATCTTCTCCCAGTCTAATGCAAATTAAAGCACAATTCAGGTTTTCATAAGGCATTCATTGAACCAAGCCTTTTTAACTGTGATTATACCCAAGGAAAGTTACTCTAAAATGTCCGAGAAAACTAAGTCTTTCAAGTGGTCTTTATTCTTTCAGGAAGTAAAGGACAGGGAAGGAGAAGCAGGAGAATGAGACTACTGTGTCAAGATGCGGCATGAGGAGCTTTCTGATGATGCAAGGCCCAGTGGGGCACTGTAAGGGTAGGGTGAACATGTCACTAGTGTCCAGGTAGTACAATGCTATTCATGTTTTGTTGTAACCAATGGAAGGAAATTTGGCAATGTCTATCAAAATCTAAAATGCACATTTTGACCCAGGATCCCTACTTCTAAGAATTTGTACCACACAAGTACACAGGTAGATAAAGATGTTCACTGCAGCATTGTTTATAGTTAATAAAAGACTAGATGCAACTGAAATATCTATCACAGCTGGTTGAAAAAATAATAATCAGTACACCTTATAGTGGAGTACCATGGTGCAAAACATTGAAGTAGCATTTTGTGCTGGAATAAGTATTGTGTGAAGGAAGCAAGGTCAGAAGAATGTATACTATGTTTAAAAAAAAGAAAGAGGGAGAGAAAGGATATATTAGTGTGCTCACAGACGCACAGAAAATTGACGGAAGGCGACTTTGCACTATTGGAATGTTTTGTTGCATTTTCTTTAAAACCTTTTCTTATTTTATTTATATTTCATATTTTGATATTCTTGACATAGAATTTCAACATTATTTACAATCAAATCTGGTAGTATTTTCCTGCATAGCCTTTGCATTTGGTAATACGTTTAGAAACTCCAGTGCTTACTGAAGTGTTCATAATTATTTTCTTCTAGTAACATTATGGTCTTTTTTTTTTTTGAGACAGAGTCTTGCTGTGTCTCCCAGGCTGGAGTGCAGTGGCGCGATCTCGGCTCACTCCATCTCCCAGGTTCAAGCGAGTCTTGTGCCTCAGCCTCCCAAGTAGCTGGGACTACAGGCACGTACCACCACGCCCAGCTAATTTTTGAATTTTTAGTAGAGACAAGGTTTCGCTGTGCTGGCCAGCCTGGTCTCAAATTCCTGACCTCATGTGATTCACCTGCCTCAGGCTCCCAAAGTGCTGGGATTATAAGCATGAGCCACTGTGCCCAGCCCATTATAATCTCCTTTTTATATCACAGTGGTTAGAAACAGGGCTTTGTTGTCTTACGGTTTTATATTTTACTCCTGAGTCTACCAGTTATTTATTTAGCTCTATAATTCTGACAATTTCCTTCATTTTTCTTTTTTTACCTTAAGTTCAGGAGGACATGTGCAGGTTTGTTATTTAGGTGAGCTACTGTCATAGGGGTTTGTCGTACAGATTATTTCATCCCCCAGGTATTAGCCCAGTCCTCTTTAGTTATTTTTCCTGATCCTCTCCCTCCTCCCACCTTTCACCCTCCAGTAAACCCCAGTGTGTGTTGTTCCCCTCTACGTGTCCATGTGCTCTCATCATTTAGCTCCCACTTGTAAGTGAGAACATGCGGTATTTGGTTTCCTGTTCCTGCGTTAGTTCCCGCATTAGTATGTATGGCTGCATAGTATTCCGTGGTGTATATGTACCACATTGTCTTTATCCAGTCTACCATTGATGGGCATTTTAGGTTGATTCCATGTCTTTGCTGTTGTAGTGCTGCAATGAATGTGTTCATGTGTCTCTATGAGAGAACAATTTATATTCCCAGTAATGGGATTTCTGGGTCGAATGGTAGTTCTGCTTTTAGGTCTTTGAGGAATACTACACTGTCTTCCGCAATGGTTGAACTAATTCACACTCCCACCAACAATGTATAAGCGTGTTCCTTTTTCTTTGCAACTTGCCACCACCTGTTATTTTTTTCTTTTCAATTATAGCCATTCTGACTGGGGTGAGATGGTATTTCACTGCAGTTTTCATAAAGCATTCGAGTTGCATTTCTCTAATGATCAGTGATGTTAAGCTTTTTTTCATATACTTGTTGGTCACATGCATGTCTTTTGAAAAATGTCCTTTACCCACTCTTTAATGGGTTGTTTGGTTTTTTTCTTGTAATTTGTTTGTTTAAGTTCCTTATAGATGCTGGATATTAGACCTTTATTGGACGCACAGTTTGCACATATTTTCTCCTTGTTCTGTAGGTTGTCTGCTGCCCTGCCGATCGTTTCTTTTTCTGTGCAGAAGCTCTTTCATTTAATTGGATCCATTTGTCAACTTTTGCTGTTGTTGTAGTTGCTTTTGACGTCTTTGTCCTGAAATCTTTGCCCATTCCTATGTCCAGAATGCTATTGCCTAGGCTGTCTTCCAGGGTTTTTAGAGTTTTGGGTTTTACATTCAAGTCTTCACTCCATCTTGGGTTGATTTTTGTATATGGTGTAAGGAAGAGGTACAGTTTCAGTCTTCTGCATATGACTAGCCAGTTCTCCCAGCACCACGTGTTGAATAGGGAATCCTTTCCCCATTCCATGTTTCTGTCAGCCTTGTTGAAGATCAGCTAGTTGTCGGTATGTGGCCTTGGCTTTACCAGATTAAGCTGTAACCATACTGATATTATTAGGGTAGGCCTCAGCAAAATTGTGAAGGAGGGAACATCTGTCCTGTTCCCTCACTTGTGGTGCCCTGGGCATTTTCTCACTTGAGACCCTACTGCCTAACAGTCCCATGAAGATGTCCCACAAATTAAAAAGATATGTTTGCAACCCAAGATACATATTCATACGTACGTATACTATACACAGATAGATACCTACAACTGAGACAAAAGATTTTATTTAATAAAAATAATACAGTATACAAAATAATTTACATTGCCTTTTGACATGTCCTGTTCTAATTCATTTTTAAAGGCTGGATACCTTGCACTAAGTTGATTTCGTGACCCACTAATGAGCAAATAAAATCTGAAATATTTGGCTACAGACTTTTTACTTTCTGACCCCTCCACTACATCATGGCCTTTCTGGGCTGTCACTCAGTCCCTCAGATCCCTGCTATCAGAGGCTTGATGAGTGACACTCATCTCTCCATCACAAACTTACATTTCATAGACCTTTTGAAGGATGACGTCACACCAAAGGGATAACTAATGCTGGAACTTCAGGCATCCTGTGGCCGACTGTGAGGCCTTTGGGAGCAGCGTCAGCTAATCCCCTGGTGGCTCTCCACTTCCCCTTTGGAAAAGGGACATTGCTGCCCATCAGGGGGCTCACCCCAGTATGCTGCCAGGCCTTGAAATCCTTTCAGAGTTTTATTTGACTAGAGTTGCCAACTTTTTGGGTTTGGGCTGAATGTGAAATTGTCTCTCAATTTTTTTTTTTTTTTTTTTTTTTAACATGGAGTCTCCCTCTATCACCTAGGCTGGAGTGCAGTGGTGGGATCTCAGCTCACTGCAACCTCCACTTCCTAGGTTCAAGCAATTTTCCTGCATCAGCCTCCCGTGCAGCTGGGACTTCAGGCTCTTACCACCATGCCCAGCTATTTTTTTTTTTTTTTTTTTTTTTTTTTAGTAGAGATGGGGTTTCACTATGTTGGCCAGACTGGTCTCGAACTCCTGACCTCAGGTGATCTGCCTGCCTTGGCCTCCCAAAGTTCTGGGATTACAGGTGTGAGCCACTGCACCCTGCCTAAATTGTCTCTCATTTCTTATTCAAACAAAATGGTGTGGTAGAAATCAAGTCCACAGAAGAAGATGCAATTTCAGGCAGCATTGGAGCCAGCAGCCTTCCTCTACTCTCCACCCTCTCCTCTTCTCCTCCGCTTTCCTACGAAGCCCACCTGTAAAACTCCCTTCTCCTCCTCCCAGCCTCACTTTCCTGTGGAATGTTCTGCTGTTTGCCAGGCCTGCTGGGTCACAAAGGTAGAACATGGTCACAAAGGCCTCTTCGGCTTCAAGGTGATCTTTGTCTTTCCATCATGTCTGAAGGCTCAGATTCTGAAATAAGTCTGAGACTTCCATTGAGGGAAACTAATGCTACTGCCTCCTCAAAGGTCAGATGCCCAGAGCCACTGTGAAGAGAAAACTCCACTTTTCACTTAGCTGTCACTGGGCCCAAACCAGTCAAAGGTAACACCTAGTTAATTCACATTCTCCCCTGTGGATTCCTCCGAGGTCCCCCTTATTCAATTTGAGTGTGTTGGCTTAAAGAAAGTA